CAATAGATGCTACATCTTTGTTGCCATATTGCCTTCGGAGGGAGCGTCACCGAATGCTTTAGCTCTTAAACTTAAATGCAAAGCCGGTAGTTAGAAGCTCGATCCCCTCACTTTTCCTCTCAATTGAATCTTTTTTTCGCTTGTATTTGGATCGATTTTCCGCTTCCCTTTGTAAACAGCCAATTGGTTTGTTTCCAAAGATTGAGATACTGTCTAAAATGATATACTGTTCATTTAATTTCTTACAGGGCATTGTTAAGTTTGACAGAGTGGGTGATAGAGAAAATACGATCGAAATTTTGCAACAGCAAGGTGTGCTCTATATAACATTTCCGAAATCTTTATTGATTCAGAATTGCAGCCAAATACTTAAAGTAAAAATTATGTTCAAAGAACTGTCACACATTCCTACATTTCATTTTCAGGTGATTCCAGGACAGTGGTCGGATTGTGTGATAAATCTTCCACCATGTTGAATGACTCTTTGTTCATTTGGGAAGGTAATTAGTACAATATCGCAAATATAGCAAAGCCTTCTGTTAGCCTTGAAACTGAACTACACTTCGCTTTATCAGTTGAAAATCGAACCGAATGATTTCCGCTTGTATGACAAAATTAATCCAGGATTGCTTTGGTTTTACTGAGCTTTGCATCGCGGCTAGTGTTGAAAACTTGCGTCATTAACCAATCAAATGTAAAACTAAAACCAATAACGAGTCGACAACTCGCGTTTTCCCGCACTTTAGTCACTTAACTTGTTTTACATTTAATTCTCATTGGCTCCTAAAGACAGTTACCTTTCTCTTGATTTGCCGCGGTCACTACTTTGGTCTTGGCTTTCTAAAAGTCAATCTTTTTACGCTGTAATCTTTCAAACTCGCGACATTTTTGTAATTGTTAGAAAACTCCTCGAAAATGCAAGAAGCTTTCAAATTAGATTAGCAAAGCTAAAAATGTACTGGTTACAATCTTTCCAAATATGAAGCAACATATTTTAGTTTAAAATGTTCTCTTTGTTTTTTGCCGATTTAAGCCATTTAAACTTTGAGAAAAAATGTCCCAGATAACCTATTCTCATTCTTTATTGTTGGTGATATCGTTGTTTGTCGATAATTTTGGAAGATGTTGTTTTGCTGTTATTGTTACTGAAATTTTTGCCTTTATTTTCTACTCTATTCACTGTAATATTTATCGCGTTTCAAGGCAAGATTCCGGCTGACGGAGTAACCAACACAACTGAACCTTATGAAGCACCAAGGATACAGACCATCATGACTCTTGTTACATCCTCTCTTGGCGTGCTGTTCTCTTTGGGATGCCTGACTTTAAACATATTATACAGAAAACATAGGTAATAAAAGTTAGTAACTTAACCCAAATTTCAGTCTTTGGCTGTACATTTGAAAGGTCGCTGACCTGAATGCAGCTGCAGAACCGGGCATGAGAAGGCGAAGAAAGTTTAACCAAAACGTATGCTGGTAGAATATAATAAGATTAACAACAATTTCTAATTGCTGATGGCATTGGGTAATACGGATTGGGAAGTATTCGTCGGTCGTACCTCCCTAGTAGAACCTGGTAGAAGAAGCAAGTTACATTTGACTTATAGAAGAAAGTGTTATGGTACTATCATCTGCTTAGAAGTCATTTCAACGTTCTTAACTTCTGATAAATATCATGTCTTAGTCCGGAGAGTGAGGACCAGTAGACTTTTTTGCACTCGCAGATCAACATCCGATAGCTAATTTTTGTTGATTGTTTTCTTTTTGTTTGAACATCAGGATAATCAAGATGTCGTCACCGCATTTTAATAGCATAACGGCCATTGGCTGTCTGTTATGCTATATCCACGTTTTCCTGGCAGTTTTGGGAAATTCATTCGTTTATGGAAAAGGAAGCAGATCTGTTTGCGTGGTAAGTAGTTCTGGTAATCAATTGATACTCCATATCGCATATGTTATGCTCTACGAACCTATGTACTGGACGTCTGTGAATTAAGGTAAGCGGCGTAACAAAAAAATTAAAAGAGACTGAATGGTTCCCATGTTTTACCTACAGGAGCATCTTCCTTCCCTTAGGGTTTCTAAGCTCAATTCTGCCACCAGAAATCATCTCTTTAATTTGATATTTTACAACAACCTGAAGCTAGCTTGGTCTCTTAATTACATATATTGCAAGTCATTGATTATTGCTTAATTCCTGAGTTCTCTCTTTTTTGTATTGTTGGCGAAAACAAAACCGGGTTCCTTTTTCCTGTTTGCTTGTTCAACTCGACTATGAGTGTAACTCGATCTATAAACCCAGCTGTAAAGAAATCAGCCACCGCTTGTTTGACGAAACAAAATTTGTATCTATACCAGCTCTTTGAAAATCGATTTTTCTACACTAGGTGCGCGCTTACCTTATTGTTGTTGGATTTACATTGGTGTTTGGAGGAATGTTATCGAAGACTTGGCGTGTGTACAAGATATTTACTAACAGGCGTCTCAAACGACAGGTACATTGCCAGCGTTTCAGTATTTCATTTTCTAGTTCACTTGTTAAATGACTGAAAATTTTGAAAGGGCAATAAGAAAATCTTTTATTGTGGTCCTTCGGGTGTCAAAGTCGTGAATAGGAAAGAAGCTGAAAAGGTCGGGAAGACGCTTTGAAGAAGGACGCAGTCGAAAACGTATGCTGTCGAGAAGGACGTAGTTAAAAAGATGCAAGTGAAAATGACGCAGCTGAATTTAACGCGATTTGAAAGGACACAGTTAAATGGACACGGTTGAAAGGATTTCAGGATTCAGCGATCTTAGAAAAGTCACTGGAAGAATAGAGAGACTATTTTATTTCCCAGTCAAGTGCTTGTGTTACAATTTTCGAAAGCGACTGATTTGATTTTATTTACATTTGTCTAAAATACGAAAACAATCACCTTCTACTTTTTATCTATTCATCGACAATCATGCCACCATTCTCGTTATCATATTCATCTTTTCCAACAGATAAGTGGTCTGAGTACGTCTCACCTATTACTTAAAATACTACATGGTCTACTGCTGGATATACTGGTGCTTGTGAGCTGGGAACTAGTGGATCCCTTACAAGCAAAAACCATACAAATGTCCGATAAGGTATAGAGTTCATGGAAGTTGTCTTTTGATCAAGAAACCCCACAGTCTTAAGACCTTTTTATGTTTTGATTGTTGGTCAGTCAACCCCGAACAAATGTATTGCTTGATTCACTATCACAACAAGTTCCAAGGATACATCATTCTATTCATGTCTAAATGGAAGAAAAGGGTTGAAGAAAGTTTAAGAACGGATATTTTGACAAGCTTGTCTCGATGGGAATTTTTAAACGCATATTTTGGTTTTGCATATAGAATCAAGGAATCCCGTACCACACACCCATTTGCCATGGCAGGCCAACTTTTTAAAGGATATTTCCTAATGAGCAGAAATTTCAAACGATCCAAACGAAATTTAGATTATCGTATCGTCGCTTCTTGTTTTTCCCTTGTCCAAACTGACCACTGAAATACGTTCAGTTTTAATTTGTGTCACAAAAGCAGCAATAATCGCTCATTTGACATTTGACAAGATAAAGTCTGTGTTTTAGCCAAGTTGGAGCCGAAACTTATCGCGGTTTTCGCGGTTTCCTTGGTGCGCAGAGACCAAGAATGTTATTAGTAACTATGTTATTATTAATTTATCCTCCTGGGTGGAGAGAGGCACTCAATTTGAGTATTTTACTCAAGAACACAACACAATGACCCAGCCGGTTCTTGAACTCAGACCTTTCGACCTAAAGTAGAACCCGCTAACCATCAGGCCAGCTGCGTCTCCCAGTGTTAACTAATCAACACTTATCTTCAATTTCATTTTCAGATGCACCCCGACGACGAAGACATACACATTCACATAACAATTCACCAATGCGATTCAACTCACTACTCCAAATGGTTTCTTGGGATACTGATATACAAGGGCATACTGCTTCTGTTTGGCGTCTTCCTGGCCTGGGAAACGAGAAATGTTCACTACGCTGAACTCAACGATTCCAAGAACATCGGGGTAGCTGTCTACAATATTTTACTGTTCTCGGGGCTTTCCATCACAGCGGAGTTTGTGCTGAGTAATTATAATGCCAAGAGGATCTTCAACAATTCCTTGATACACTTGTGTACCACCATGGTGCTTGTTTTAGTGTTTCTCCCAAAGGTATGTGGCCAGAACATAAGTTTATATCGCTTTCGTGGATGTCGGAGTGTGAAAGTACACCCCTCTTCCCTGAGGAGACCTAGGTTTGATTCCCGAGCCTGGAATCACATGTGGTTTGAATTTTTCTTGGTTCTCGTTGCTCGGTGAGTTTCTCCCAAGTTCTCTCTCTGCAAAAGCCAAAAATTCAAATTCCTGTGCGACCCCCGGAACCAAAGGACAAGGAACTACTCTGTTCATGTGCCACTACTTAACTGTTACTCAAACTACTTTACAATCTCGTCTAAGGGCGAATGTCTTTCTTTCCCTTACCTGTCCTCTCTATAACACTATGTTCGCACCCTGTTCTGCTGTATCCTGTTCGGTCTTTTCGTTAATTTCTCCGAGGCAAGAGTCGCGTCAATCTCTCCCCTTCCCACGGATTATTTCCTTTTCTGTCCTACTCTTTTATAAGCCCTGTATGTTATCCATTTGAATCTATGCCCTTAATATCTTTCCTTATCTTCCTTCCATTCTGTCCCTTTCTTCCTCTTTTTTCTAATATCTTTAACCTTTTTCATTTTTACGTCTTTTCCTGACAGATCACAAATCTTGCACGAGAGTCACAAGTGCACCCAGAAGAAATCCAAATTCAGGATGGAAGGGAACATAATTCGTTAGGAAAGAAAACTTTCAATTCGACCAGTTTTGGAGTTTCGGAAATCGTGCAGACGGTTCATTAGTGTGATGGAAATTCCGTGATTTACCGTGAACATAATTTTATACCTCAGCTCCCAGTTGAACCGTTGCAGTCAGAATTTGAATCGTTTTCTAGAATGTGCAAAATGACGAAAAACAAGCTCTAAACCATAAACTCTTTGGCTGTCAGAAAAAAAGCACTAGAACATGAGAGATAAAAACAACGGAAAGAGAATGGCAAAGGATGGAGCAGTAAGCGTTTAATGATACAGTAACCTCGGCGTTTATCTTTTCAGTAAACCGATCTTTAAACATTCTTAATTCCGGATGATCCAATGTGGTTAAGAAAAAATTTTCATGAATAAAGGAGATATAAAATAATCAGCTGGGCAAGGGTGATGAATAAGCTATGACGGTGCAAATTTTTTTTTTTCACAAGTTTAGGTCTCCTGCCGACCGAAGGATTCGATAGTTACGACTAATCAGTTATAATAAAATTGTCACACTCATCCGATTTTACTTAGCATTTGAGATTTTCTCCGGGTTTAGTCTTCTATTCACACATATCAGGTTAAAACGGTCGTTTGGTCTTCTATCCACACATATCAGGTTAAAACGGTCACTCAAAACGAATGCTTTATAGAGACGTTTGAAGACGCCGTTTTACTGTGTTGGCGTCAACGGATAGAAACAATTTTTGGCAAAAAATAAAAGTTTTTTTAAATTTCTTAGAGATAATTATGACTGGTGGAAGGTCGATCGTGAGTTCGTGGCACAGTTGATAGCCGGAACCGAATGGCGTTTTGATAGGCACGAGTTCTTGCCTCATTAAAGTCTTACCTTTTAAGCCTTGATATCATGTTATCCTTTTTTTTCATATTACCATGTATTTATCGAAATAAGAAGATAATTTAGTTATACGTTTTCAAAGTAACTTAGTGGGCCTATGCTTTATACTAATACTAGTTATAATGATGACAATTAATTGTTTGGATTGGGCAAATTATTAAATGAATATGTTCATAGATAATAATGTAACATGATAGTCTGGAACTGATTCCTAGGAGACCAGTACAGTTTCAAAACTGTCTCTCAGGGTTCAAAGAATTCACGCATGCGCTGTGGTAAAGGAATAGAGGCGGCTGAAACACTTTGTGTTATTTTTTGTCCATTAAAATTTCATTTTTCACCTAAAAATCTTAAAACACTATATGGTTTAAGTTTCTCAAAGCTGTGGTACCAAACGCATTCTCTGACAGCGAGTGAGTTGGTTGCAAAGCAGACTACTGCATTCATTTATTGATACTTTGTATGAATTCAGCCTTCCCCTCTCGTTTTCACAGCCATTATCTGGTCTCGATTAAGTGCTACGTTATACACTTGTATTCCTGTGACTCTCCCCTTAAAATATCTGGCATCACCAGTTTTCACACCAATTCTGACATTTAAGTCGGTAGCCAATTGAAACACTCCAACAGTTTCTTTCCCTTTTTCCACTCCGTCGATCCAGAGTCTAGCCACTCCAGTGTTGTAGTCGTAAGAAACAGCGACGTAATGCCACTGACCTGAGGTTGCAGGGCTTGTTACAGATGAATACATATTACCCTGTCTATCAGCCGGACGGAAAAAAAAGTTTCCACCAGTTGCTATCCAAAAATGAACTCTCCAAAGATTTGAAGTCGAAGTCCCATAGTTGAATATAGGTCCATCCGTTGGTCCCTCGGGATAAATCCACATCACAACTGTCAAAGAGTACATCGTATCTAACCCTCCGCTGTTTGGGAGTTCAATGTAGCTGTTAGATGTACCCATGAACCGATACGAACCGCCCGCGTTTCCCTTAGGTCCAGTTGCAAGCTGCACGTTGGAAGCAATTCCGTCAAGCTGACTACCCAGCATGTCTTTTGTAGTGTATGCTGAGTTGAACGGGTAGAGCGCGACAAGGCCATCCACATCTAATGGAGATACAATACAATGTAAACGTTCTATACCACTAGTTTCTCTCCTTTTAATTGTTGTGATTATCTTGGGATTTAAACAAAAAATCAAAGATTTTCCCCTTTGAGTGCGAGTCGTGGCTGCCTGTGTACACCCAAATGACAACTTACATACTAGTGTATTTTTAAGAAAAGTGAAAAGGAGTGATTTTCGCACGTCTTTTTCAACAACCCTGTGCCCTGTATTAGGAGCAACAGAGAAACAAACCGCAGTTATAAGGAAAAGGTGTAAAAAAAGGAGCAGTATTAAGATGCCAGCAATAAACCATAAAGTTAGACTTGATTGAAAAGCTTTCAAATGCAAGGAACATTAGACACGGTTTTGATTTATTAATGTACATGCTATGACGGAATTATATAACTATTGTTATTCTTTCTAAACGACGATCAGATGTAAAATTCCACCGAGGTACAAAGTAGAAGGACAGCGTAGTTTCGGTTCAAAGCTTAGAACACTTTTCGTTTGAGTATTGTAAAATCAAAACAGCAGTAACCACAACGGCCGATCAGAAGAAAGGATGAGACCTTTAAGAGTCAACGAGAACTTATATGAAAGTAAAACCAACCTGAAACTGCCCAAAGCGCGGGAAAACGTGAGAGACTAAGTTGTGGTTGGTTTTAGTTCTGCGTCTGCCTGTTTGAGAGAGTAGGGCGAGTTTTCTTTCCCAATCACAGAGCCAACTAAAGCAAAACCAATGCAATACGGGCTTACTTTCAACACTCAATTGAAAATTGCTCTGATGTAAACAGGACTTTTGAGTTTGCGTTAACAATACGATAGCTGAGTTACCTTGACAAAGCAAACGACACAGAATCACGAATTGACTTAAAAGGGATTCATTTTTACATTGGTCATGGAATGAGTGGTCAAATTTGAACATCAATGCAAATATTCCAAAGATCATCTTATTTAGTACATTTCTGTGATCTGTATTGCAGAATTTTATAAGGATACGAATATTGAATTCACACCGATAAATTCGTGAACTCATTTTCCATTTCTATGGTTAATTATTCGATTTGTAGCCATCAAAGCTATTTATTTCATCCCCAAGATCTAAATAATAGCAGTTCTTCAGAACCGTCCATAATCCATTAATTCTATAATTTGCGGTAGCTCAGAGTAGTTAATGTTGCGTGAAGCAATTTCATAAGTTGATTTTTTCTTTCTTGTCAACTTTACATTAACACCCCTGCACTTTGGAGAGGAATTTCATTTTGATCACTAAAAAGTGTAAAACAAATAAACAACTAAAATGGAATGCAGTGCTGAGAATTCTCAGGCTTGAACTCAGCATGTGACGTAAATGAGGTACTTACAGCGTTTCACTTAGTTAATTAAGTCTTAAAAGAAACGAAATTATAGAAAAAACATTTTGATGTCACCTTCGCAATCCTTTCCAAAATATCCTGGAGCACATTGGCATGAATACTTGTAATCATCGTAGTCAGCCACACAAGTTGCATTGTTCATACAAGGATTACTGGAACAACGACTCTATCGGTAGATAATAAAAAATTTTCTAAGACTTAACTTTCCTCTGTTAAGACAAGCATCTTTAATTGATAAACGATAAATACATCAACTATTGCAGCCACATGCAATAATTTGTGTTAATGTTACACTGAAACGGAGTGTTTCACTGAATGCTTTAAATGGCTATTTCAGTGCCTAAAAAGCTCGGAATTTAATGCTTCACTAGTACTATTTTGAGAACTGTGACATTACAGACTGAAAAGGTTAAATAATATAAATAATATAGCAGGCTAACTCTTCTACACTGTATATATTCCCACCAAAAAATTATGCAAGAAGAAAAAATTCAAGAATATCTTTCTACATACCTTTATGCTGTAATGATGAAATGTTGGACTTGAAGAAAACTTACTTGATTTATTGTACTTATCGCTGGGCAAAAGTTGGCAAGACATCTTTCTGTGCACGTTATCTAAGAACGCCGCACAGTTAAAGGAAAAACACGATGGGTTATCAACACACGTTACACCGCACTCTCCAACCGTACGCACAAGAGCTGATAACAAGGGTGGCAGATCCAAAAAACTAAATTTATGCGAAACAAAGTTGACATAATTAACACCGTCTTTCCTGTCGCGTTTCAAGATTTTGGAACCGTCAACTTCTGTGCCACTGACTTTTGTACTACTAAAACTTAGAAATACAATCGCGTTCAAAATCCCCACCATGTTAGTAAAGCTGAACATTATTAGTTATGGCTGTTTAAGAAACGCTGATTAATCGGACGTTATTTGTAAATGTGATATGAGCCTACGTAATCTTATTGGTTTGGTTGCTGATTCGTTTGCAGTTTCTTAGAGAGCCATGAATTTTAAATAAGTTGATGTATCGCGAGTGAAATAATCTCCGGTTTTTTTAAATCAAATTTTAGCATTGAATTGTAAAGTTCCGGGAGTAAAAAAAGCAAATGAAAACAATAC